CGAGGGTTGAAAAAAACAAGAAGTAATCTAAAAACGACATTGAAAATTATGAAAACTCACTAAAAACTCCGACCCATTGCATGATTTCCGGTACACTGAAGGTCACCCTGCAGACCGACTTGTTTGCGCATGCGTAGTGAACGAAATATTTTACTGCGCAGATATGAAATTTTTTTTTCAAGTTTTCCGTTTCCAGCAAAGCGGTTGATACAGGCGTATCAGCGGCAACTAACATGGAGTATGACTAATGTTGTGGAAACAAAAGCGAAAGCACTGTAAGATAAACTAAGACAAAGGTTTTTTTAATCCTCTTAGTTTCGTTGTTCTTCCTGGGGTTTATAGTTCCATGTTACAACTGAGGTAGTCTTACATAATTTAAAAAACAAACTTATCTTGCAATAAAAATTGATTGACAGTAATGTGTATTTTTTTTAGACAATTTATTTCTTGTTACTCTCACCATGGATGTACATCCACGCTCTCACACTCATGCATTATACCACAGTCCCTCTATCACTGATTATACCAAAGACTATACCGGTAGTCTTTGATTTTACACATTTATCAGTCTTAAGTAAACGTTATACAAGCTACTAACTAAATATTAGAAACAACAATTTGAGATGTGTATTTTCATAGCTGACCAGCTGATGTTAAACTGAGCCTTCATTTCATTACAATTTTATTCATTCCACAGAGTAGATATTATTTCAGAGGCAGCTGATCTGCAAGGTGTATAATGCTAATGTTACAATTACATGCTAACACATAACTGTGGCAATTATCACTGAACCGGAACTCTAAAAGCTAATCATGGAGGTAAAAAGAGATTTTACCTCCATGAGCTAATGTAGTATTAGAATGTTTTGTTTCAGGTTGAAATCATAGACTTTAGGGACTATGTTAAAATATGTTATGTAATTATTTCACCATAATTTAAGAGGTTCCATGATTAGCCCAAAATATTCTGACCTCATCATAGAAAGTAATGGGTATACATGTATGCATGGTGACCTGTAGTTTACATGCTCCACTAACTTGCATTTACACCCATGTCAAGACTTACTAAGTACTATAAAAAAACACTCTTGTGTTTGTTGGGTTTGGATAGGAATCACTATAATATATTGATTTGGTTTATTGAAACACATAGATTTCCTTAGAAGAAATTAAATTGGTTATAATTGGTTAAAAAATAGCTCCATGGTTACATTGTATGCTTAACAAAGACAATGAAAATCCAGGACAAGAAAACAAATACAAAACAAATCACCGGTACATACAAAAGCCACTGGCTAATTAAAAATGACTAACCTAATACTATATACCGGGTTGCAAAAACGACAAATAACAATGTCTAAAATACTATCATAACAGGCAATCATATAAACTACTGGAAATAACGTAATAAAAAAAAATTGAATGGCCCCAATAAATATATTTCAAGCCTGGAATAAGAAATAAATGAAATTGAAGACTATGATCCAGGAAATGTTGAGGGCAACTCAAATACCATGGTATTGCTCTCCCAATTATTTTTAATAACCCAGTGAAATTTGTATAATTTCAATAAAATATGATTTATTCAGTATAGACAGGAGTCAGGGTCACCCAGCCAAAAGTTCAGATATTGTTTGATAGCAGTTTCTCTATCAAATGTTTTACAACTCTTAGGGGTTCATTCACATTCTTTATAGATGAAAATCATACATACACAAGTATCTTGTGAGATATTTTATTACTCTGACATCTGTTCATGCATGCAATTATGTATAAGTACTGTTACCATAAATGTTTAACTTTTCACCACTTAGTACAGTGATTTTTTTAGGGCAATTAAAAAAATGAAATTTGATGTAACTCTGGTGTCTTACAGCCGTAACCTAGTCATTAATGTATTCATTTTCTATACTGTAAAATACTGTTATTTTAGCTGGAATTAATTTTCGCTGAAAAGATTTTTTGGGTGTTTTGTATGGAATTTATTTTCACTGATTTTTGACAAGTTGAATGTAAAATATAGGGAAAAAATATATTCTCTTCAGTAATATTGAAGCTGCTAAACACCCAACTGCTCATATAATGAGTATTTTAGGTAATCCACTCAGATGCTTGTAGATTACAATGTAGTTTCTAGGGAAGTTTCTTGCATTATTTTCCCAATTCTTTAATACACATACTGATACAAGGTAAACTATGGGTATATATACCCGGTACTTGTATTCATAAATATATGGCCAATGTAACTACTAGTATGTTAAAACTGGTCCATCTGAATCCGTTGTAGCACTGGACTTTTTCACTTATATTCAACTCTGCTGTCATTCAAATTTTGTATTATTTAAATTCCAGTCTGTTTTTCTTACAATAAAACAATGGTAGCATCTTTCTTGATTTTAGATTTAAAGAAGCCCTTTCTACAATAACAATTATAGACAATAGTGGCCTAGGCACAAACTCATGCTCACCAAATTAAACAACTCTTGCCATAAAGCGATCAGCACATTTTATTACCTAAAACAAATAAAGGGCTGACTATTTGAAAGAACATTTTGTTTATGCTTTCTTTTTTCAATATAGCAGTATATGTAATTCCATACAATATTTTAAAAAACTTATTGACTATAAACATTTTATAACAGCTGACTATTATATCCACCCCATATATTCCAGTGTTGGTTCTTATCTTTTTCATAGGTCAACTCTTTGTAAGAATTCCTTATCAGATTTCTCTCAAAAACATTTTGCCTACCATTACCTGCATACATTTATATATTTTATGAGGTCTCATTTAGAGGTTAATATTGCACCTGACTTCACCTTCAGTACATTACCAACATGAGTGGAAATGGAGGTTTCTACTAGCGATGTGCTCTGGGGTTTTCAAAGTATCTATGTACAAACTACAATAACACCCACACTGTGAACACAATATCATTTATACAAATGCTACTCGAATTACACATTAAACCATGGGGTTTTGTTCCTGAATTGTAGTTCCATGGTCATGTAGCCCCGGCTGGAAATACACTGAGAGTTAGATGTTGCACAAGTCTCTTTTCTTTCAAAACTTACAACTATGTTTACTATTAATAAGACAGACCACAGTGCCACTATCACAGGGACTGTGGACAGACATATATTTCAACTGAATAAAAGCTCCCTTTCGCCATGTAGGTATATGCTATCGTCACCCCCCCCCCCACCCCTTGAGTCATATCCTCCACACCAGTGTAATCCTGTTTACAAAACTTTTGTTATGGTAATTTAAACATGGGTGTACACTCTGAATGAATGAAACCCTGTTTAAATACATAGGGCACGTTTCTTGTCACCAGTGAGGAATTCCAGACGACTTTGTCTCACCGCTAATGGACATAAACCACAAACAGAACTACGAGATTTTTATTTATTTCTCGATGTGTGTATATATAGCGATGATGTATTAGTGTTTAGGTCCGAACCAACCAAGCAGGAAAGTGCTCTATTCATGCTTGGCTAGGGATGCTAACAAAGGGCAGAAGTGCGTGTAAATATCAGCTGCTTGGCATGTGAAGGATCTTCCAAACAAAGGTTGAACACCCACCATATATCATTATTAGCTCCGTGCATATATTGAAAAATCACAGCACAGGTTTTATCATGGCTTCGTTTATATAAAATGTACGTTTATGTTTACGTATATTTTAATGAACTGCTCAAAATGCCCCCGATTGCTATTAAATGTATAAAAACAATCTGGGCTCGTAGAGAAATATCGAATACAGTAAATATGTCAACTGATTTTGTCTAAACGCCAGATCAAGGCTGCCAGTACGTCAGAACAATACACTTCTCAGCACACAAATAGTTACCAATTAATTAGCCTGTTGTAAATGTTTCATAAAAGACACTATTGTCTTTGATTCTATCAATAAATCAGTAATATTAAAGGTGTGTATTAAGTCATGTGACGTCGAACGTACCTGAGATAAGCTTGCAGGCAGATATCGCAGAACCGATGCTCACATGTTGTTATTTGTACAGGGTCTCGCATTGGTAAACGGCATAACGGGCACACGTATTTTCGCCGCACTTTCTCGGCAAATTTGTACTGGTAACCGGGCATTCTACCACAATGGCCAGTGTAGAGGCGTTCTTGTTAGTAACTGGAATATACAGATTAGAAGAAGACGTTTCGTCCGCCAACAATTTCGACGTAAACATATAAATACTGACAACCCACACCGAAGCGAGGGAGAGTTTGAGTACCAGCTGAGCTGGAACGGACTATTCTAACGTAGGGGTGGCAATATGGGCGGAGAACAATGATCGACAGGAAGTGTCGTGTGAGGGAGAAATAACAATAGCAAGACAAACAGCTCCCTTATCACCCATTCACAACACGCGTATCAATCAACTGTGAATCTGTTTAGTGAGAACCCAGCTCAGAGAAACTCGTACAAATTTACAAAACATCGGATTTTCCTCCAAATTGATTTACCCCTTCTCCACACAGATCCCGGTCAACTATAAATATTACTGTTATTATCTCAGGGGGCTGAGCAGAATTCAAGTGATGGCGGATAAATACATGTACTAAGCGCCATATCACGCTTGTTTGTGTAATAGCCCGCATCAGTGTCGCGCTGTTATCACTAAATACTCCGGCAGGTCAATAGCATTGCGATTTAGAAAGCGCCCTGCGGGGGACAAATATATTTATTTCTAAATCTTGGTGATTTCAGTTATGATACATACCATGCGAAGTGTGCCTTGCTGGCTGGTACATGTATATTTTGAATTTATTTTAACTACTGACGTAGTTGTTGACACCCGCCCCGCTCTGCTCGCAGCACACAGATCTCCACACAGACTATGGTGTACGCAGGGTGTACGTAATACATTAGCATATACCCGGTACTAGTATATAGTAAAGGAAGATGTCACAATCATACAGTTCTCAACTAAACTAAAAACTAAACATTCCTTAATAACAGATAACCCACTGGCCAATGCCTATATCACGTCTGTCAACTGAACCCCTCAAAAAAAAGTTCATCCAATTCAAACAAATAATGATGAGAGTTTTGTTGACCGCATATACATTAAAAATATTGAAATAATCACACTTCCTCTTACGGAATTATAGTTCTATGCCTGGTATTGTACTACTCATGTCCCCAATCCATGAATAATTGTTTCAGCCTCGGCCTTTTCAAAGGAGACGCTTCGGCCTCGATTTAGTGTTCAAATGCGTCGCCTTTATTTTCATACGAATATATTGAAAGTTTCGGCCATGGAGGTTTCGTACGTTACAGGCACGATTTATATTTATTTACTTATATCTTGTACGTTATTATCAAATAAATATAATAAACCGTGCTTGGAAGGTACGAGTTAGAATGAATAAATATAATAAATAGTGCCGTGGTCATTTTAAATTCAAGATTGGTCGTATACAGAAGGGATCACGACTTTTTGCAATTATTAGTTGTAATTATTCATATTTAACTTAAAAATTGATTGATTACCAAATTGTCTATGCTTATCTATAACTCTTGGTGAATTATTGCCTCGTCCAATAATTTTGTTTTATTTAACAAAATGTCGTCAATAATAATTATAAGTTTTTAACTGATCGTAAATATCACCACATTGTTGCAAAACATCTAAAATATTCAAACCAATTATTTTCAAAACAAGTCAGCGATGAACCACTTTAATAGGGAATTTTAACATCGGCCAACATTTTCGCGAAATATCTGTTAGATGCAATTACTTAAAACCAATTCACTGTTACCCAATTATTGTATATCGATTTATTGCTTATCTGGTTCTATATAACTTGCTCAATTATAAAATGCTTTTAAGGCATGACTTACATCGATTTTCATCATCGTATATTCTTTGTAATACCAATCGTTTTGACATTTCTGTTAACTGGTTACTATGGAGATTCAGTTTAGTTTAGCCAGTATTCAAATGGCGATACGGATATAGATATGTGAATTGTCAATGCGGTTACGTTTTTAATGATCGGTGCTCCACACAACGTTTCAAGAAATAGTATAAGCTGTTATAATATAATATAGCACCTAGATCATGATATACTATGTCCTGGTGTGTGGGTTGTCACATAACACACTACTGTACAAAGAATTGTAGCAAAATCCGTGTGACCACATGAACATGTTTTGATAATCATAGTATAACCGCGCTCGTAAGAAAAGAAATAAGATCGCTTCTTTCTGAAAAGAAAGTCATGTGATGCGGATGGAGCAATTTGATTGACTATAAACTTGTCTCTATGGTTTTTTTAGACCTGTACAAATTATATTGAAAGTACACGTATTTTGAAAAACGTATTGTATTGCGGGTATCAATTTACAAGACAGGTGACAAATCGACATTACATAAAGGCAAAGTTATTCGTACTAGAGTAATATATTTTTTTTTACAAAAAATGTTTATAAAATTACACAGACAAATAATACTGACAGTAATTTAAAGCGGGAGGGTCGTCACCTGCGCACGCGCGGGAATTGAGACCCAAGCGAAGATAACAACACACGCTAAAAACGCAGACATACGCTTGTTTGTAGACAATGACACGCCATCTGACGCGTGCGCAGGTGACGACTTTCCTGCTGTAAAAGTACAATTTGATACAAATCTAGTTTTGACATCGTGCATAATTTTCACCTATATGATTTTCATACAAATCTCCTATTACGTGTATACGCCTTACTTATATGTATGTTGCGCACAATTTTAGTATAAAACAGAAAGAAAGGCGTGGTTGGGGCTGAGGTAGTACAAATTACTACTGGCCTTAATAATGTAGAGTAAGGCAGTAAACTTTTGAAACATCGCGATTGTTTCTACAATACAGGGATATCACGACACTTTATTCCGGTGGTGCAATTATTTTATCGAAAGGACTAGAGCCGCTACAACCCATCCAGTATTTGGCCTTGGATTTGGGATAATTCTCGTCAACTTTGCCTGTAGCGTCGTTAAAACGCCAATAGTCGTCGCCTTTGAAGAAGTACGTCTTTCCGTTCTCCCACTGGAGGGCGGCGTTGATCTTACTAGGAACTCCACCCCACTGTGATCGTATTTTCTTGGGAAATCCGCTCACGATTTTCTGTGAGTATTCATCCCAAACGTAGTACTTCTTCCCCTTGAATATGTACACCCGACCGTTTCCGCCCCATACAAAGGCCGCATCAGGACTAGAAGGCAGACCCGTACCTTCGATAGATTTCGGATAGCCAGCCTCCAGCGTCTTATCGTAGAACCGCCAAAAACGAGTACCTGTTGGTATGAATAAAACACTGAATTATTACTGTAACAAGGAATGGTGACGTCATGCGATGAAACAAACACGCACCTCCTCTAATCGGTACATCGACCCTATTCCCTTTGTTTTAATTTCGCTATTTTTGCTGATGAGTAAAATCAGTTAAATTAAATCTGTGTGAACATGTAAAATAACAATAGAACTCATTGCTTCCTTAACAAATTTGTGAAATTGAAACACAGTGAATATGCTCAAAACATCAAAATAGTGAAATTAAATGTCAGTGAAACTAAATGGTTTTACAGTATGGAGATAATTTAGACACGCTCTCCTTCCTTCTGGTTCTAAAATGGGGTTAATAATCCTTTCTGAAATATAAATCTACATAATGATTGTAATTTGCATAATTTTACTAAATTACTCGCTATGTTCTTTGAACTTTAAATGTTCAAGACTATTGTCTCAAGAAAGAATTGAGATAAACTGAAACGTTTGGCGTGTTTGGTTTAGCGTGATGCAACATGGGATTTTACTGATGGGAATTACATCTCTACATATTTCTTAGTAGGTACCCCATTCTCCCTGTGTCTTTAAAAATGTTGTTTGCAGAATCAGTATGTGCGCCCACTTGTGGTACCTCTGGCTAATGACTTTGTTTTTACTGCATCGTGTCGTGACGACACACAGCTACAAAATAATGCTAATACCTTTGAAGAAGTAGGTTCTCTGAGTCCATCTTGAAGTAAATGCGGCGTTGATATTGCTAGGAATGCCTTTAAATACTTCTTTTATTTTAACTGGATAGCCTTGGTCAACACCGTTATGGTTTATACTCCATATGTATTTGCCGCGGAGGGCGTACGTACGACCATCCAGACCTGCAATAAAATAACCACAGAGCCCTTTCAAACACCATTAGAAAATAGAAAGTGAACTCTAGCGGGCGATATTGTAATATTCATAAGATATGCAGGATGGATGAACAATACAAGAAGAAGTGTGCGATATTTAAATTAAAAAAAAAAAACATTTGGTTCAAGGTGACCAAATCGCTTATTTAGCGATCTCGAGGCATCTTATACTGAAAACACGGTCGATTACTCTGTCATGAATTTGTTTTCGCGTATCTGTTGACCGACTTAATTAGTTGATTACGAGCGAATTGCTGTGTTATGTCTGTCATCGTTTAGGTCTATTTGAAGTTTTGGACGGAACTTGGCTCAGTGATTTGGAACTAATTACCAGATAACCGTCGCGATTTTGACAGTTTATATTCATAGTTATTAATGTAGTGAACGATTAATCAAAAGATATGACGTATTCAGTACTTAGTGTGATTGGCTTTATGATTGAAGGTTACGCCCTAGAGTCTTTTTACTGCTTTGTAATTGGTTAGAGTTTTGAAAATGAATAAAGAGAGTTTGAGTTGGTCTTGGCGAATACTCCACGACAGACGCAGTCCGAGAGAGTCCAGGGGCGAGCCTTGAGGCAGTCCAGTCTTGGGCGAGTCTTGGTTCAGCCCTGTGAGAGTCTTGGGGACTTTTCCCCAGGGCGCTGTGTCTTATAGAGTGCTCCAAAAGATCGACTAAGACGAGAGTTGAAACGTATTTCGTTGTGTGTGCCTTATTTGACTGTAAAGTTAAAGTGACTTTCCCGATCCCGTACCTCAAGGGGACGAGATAGAGAGACGAGACGAGTTTCCCCCCTGACAAGTGTGGAGAACCCCGAGGAAGAGATTTACCCTGTGATACGTGGTGTGAGAACCCTGGGCATTGCGTCTTACGCACATTGACATCCTGTGAAGAAAAGTGAATGGCGAAGGTGTGTCTTTCTTGCGAACCGAACTAACTGGCTCGATGGCAGAGACGACTCAGAAACTGCGCTTGACGACTAACGGCTTTACCCGAACGGCACCGATGAACGACGCTGAAGAGATGAAGACTTCTGAACCCCTTACGAAGGATGAGTACCGGATAGGACTGTATAATTTAGAATTGAGCGACATTAAAGACAAGAAGATGACAAAGAACGACCCGGAATAACGCGACAAGAGAAGACGCTTATAGACTTTGATTAGAACTTTAGCTATCTGTGTATTGCTCAGAGAACTGCTCGCTGGACACTGTAACTGACACTGTGTAACTCAGGACGTTGAACTCTTTTCCAGAACCCTAACCCTATTGCTCAGTCATGTAATGTATTGTTTGCTTTTTCTATCTTTTTTCTTACCTTTTTTTTGTGATGTTGAATTGTATGTGTGTAAGCGCCCAGATCTTTGTTTTGAAATGATATTTAGTGACGTGCGAGGTCCTTTATAACGATTTAAGCGCGTTTCAGTGGACAAGTATTTGCAACACAGTGTTTTGGGTTTCTGTGAAGTTTCATGGAGTTTTAATGAGTTTATGAGTACGGAATATGATGGGAGGAATGATGCCCCCACGTGTGTTTTTTAAGAGTTTTGAGATTTGTCGAGTACAGAGATATCGACGTTTTAAGAGTTGTTTTTGTTTACGTGTTGTTCCGGAATACTTCTGACGCTTTTTGAGTTGATAGCACCTTTGTAACGTTTTTTAATGTCTTTTTGGGATGAGAGTTTGGTGCGCCTATATACGTATTGTTTGATATCGCAAGCTTTTGTTCATGATTGACAGGATTATATGTAACTCAGTAGTTTCTATCGT